GTATCCTCGAAAGGCAATGTTTTCCTCTTGGTGTGAAAAGCATGGTTGTTTTTAAAGAGTAGGAGCAGGGCTTGAAAAATGTCCCCTCCGGTCATTCAGAAGCGTGAAAAATCTAAATGTGAACTGTGTAGAAGGGGTTTTGATTTTTTGTATGCTTCTACTGTTTCAAAAGCATATTCAACCAGCAGTTATTGTACAGTGTAACTAGAAAAACCCAGTTTTGGTCAACTCAGCATGCAAAGAAAGTCGTGTCTGATAGCCCGGGACTAGTGAATTTTGCTATCAGACTAGCCTAGTGTTTTTGTTCTTAGATGGGCAAGTGCTGTTTTTTGGGAAATTCAAATTACAGAAGGATTGTAATCAATCCTGCTAATCAAAAGGGTTTTGCAACCCTCAAAGCTAAAATTTTTGTTCAGTGGCCATTTGGCGATCAGCTCTTTGGGTTTAGTTGCCAGGGGAAATTTTTAGGCGCCAAATTATATTAATAAATTAATACCAGTATATCAAAATTGCCCTTAACAAAAGCAGTTAGCAAGTTTAACTTAAAATGCAGCACTGTCTATAAATTACTCGTTTATTGTGCAAGGCATTAGTTACTGATAGTCTGAGAATAAGGTTTGCAGATTCATCTCCTTGAATCAATACTGAAACGGAATTGTAAAGACAATTACCATTTCCAGTTGTCTTTAGGGCCTTCAATCCTTCTGTATAATCCCCAGTTGGTATATGAGAGCAGAACTTAACTCATCCTCTGTTAATGTGTTCAAAATTTCCCAGTCGCAACTTGATAGGCGACCTATTTTTTTTTCTGATATTTGCTTCGCATATCTTTTGCGACTTTTGTTGATGATGAACTTGTTTCCCCAACTAACAAATATTTTTGGAGATTTAAAAGGGTGTTTTTAATATCGCTAGACATTGCGAAAGCCTGACAAAGGCAGGAGAGTATAGGAAGATCAGCAAGTTGTCTAAATCAAATCATTGCTTTATAGAGATAACGTTGCGCACGCCAAAATATTTCGCAACGAGTTGTACTGGGAAAAAATGTTTTTCCCAATCAATTGAAAGGAACCCAAACAAAAATGCCGCTTACGAAATAATAAATTTTCTTTTTCCTTTATCATCGCTACAGGTGTTTAAAAAAAAAACATTTTTTGCAACAACCTTAAGCTGTCAGTTTTGCGATGTTTAGTTTCGCTCACAATTATCGCTTTATTTTACAAAACCGCGATTCAACTCGCAGGTTTCACATGTTACGGTTATCACATAATGTTCTGTGTTGAATTTGCACCAATTTAGCTCTCCCTCTCCATGTTATTAGATTGTTTCAGTATTGATTCAAAAATATTTATAATATGTAGTCCAGTTAAAAAACCGCCGAGCTTGGCTAGACAAGCATTCCTAAGATATCGAAGAAATCGTCACTGTCGACAAGCAAGGCGCTTCGATTGCGTGCCATTTGTCACGTGTCAAAAGTTAAAATGTCACGTGCAAGGCAACAGACTGAAGGCGATTAGGCGAACGAATGCAAGTCAAGTTTCATTGATGTTCCTTTTCAAAACGCTTAGCTCTGGGACTTTTTTAAGTTTTCAGTTTATTATATAGAATGTTTTTCAACGGAAAAGTAAAAAAGTAATGTAATTCAAATCAGCTAGAATAAATGTTCTTCATATTTCAGTAGAAGTGATTACCATTTTCTGTTTCTATACGCCACAACATGAACCTATTCTTCACGGTCGCCAGCTTGGCAACTATTCTCCAAATCAAGTCGCCAGTTCCAAAATTTTAGGCGCCATGGCGACTAAAATGGTCGCAACTTGGAGGGTTGTTTTGGGGCTAGTTGAAATGACTTGTGGGCTAGTACATACTAGCTACAGCTTGCCCGAATGGCAGGCTGGAATGGCCGAATGGCCAATTAGTGCTAATCGAGGATTGAAATTTTGTTCTGCTTTCATATTAACCTTCCCATGTATTGCTTAGAGTAACATTTTGTCTAAGTATCATTACCATATCTTGGAGTGAAGGCTCAACAGTGTTTTGTAAGCTTGTCAGTTGCGTTTTCTTAGACAAGAAAACTTTCATTAAAATTTTGCTTAATCCTGGGTTAAACTTAACCATCTTTCAAGGAACCAGGTCCTCGCCCTGTAAACCTTTTGTGCACAGTTTAGTGACTTACATGTGTAGTGGTTGCAGTTGCCTGCGTCACAGATGAAACTAAACTCTGATTAAGTCCGTCTGCCAAACAGCACTAAAATCCTTGTTCTGGGCCCCAGCTGTACACCTGGATTCAAAAACTGTTAAATGTTTCTTTCAGTATTTGTCCCCATTTTGCAATGTAAAGAGTTTTTTAGCATACCAGACGATATGGTCTTACACCTTCAATACAAAGTGTCTCTAGTATGTTGGTAATGTGTCAGTTAACTGTTGATAGGTCATCTGTCAGCTTAGGATAGTTGTTCTTCACAATTACCCATTGTTTTGACCGGTCACAAATAAGCCATGACCATGCTAAAATTTGTTCGGCCAGTCAACATGACCGGCAATAGTCCAAAACCTACTTTGTGCCCTGCTGTTACTACCACTGTATCCTTGCTTATTAATTTTCCTACTTTATTGGACAGGAATAACAAGCAGTGAGTAAGCAACATCTATTGAACTATTCAGCACCACTTATCATGGTATCCTGTTTTCATGGAATCACAGAATCATTTAAATAGCAAGTGAGCAGAGATTTAAATACAGCTAGAAACTTACTACAGAAGAGAATAATACAGTCAAACCTCTTTAATACAGACACCAAGGGGACCAGGACCAATTGTCCGCTTTACAGAGGTGTCCGTATTATAAAGGTAGGGAATGCATGATTTTTGGCATTTCTGGAATCAAACAAACTGTCCGAGATGTGTCCATCTTATAGATGTGTCCGTATTATAGAGGTTTCAGTAAGGAGAGGTTAGACTGTAATGTCATATTGCCTTGTTTTTGGGCACATGCACAATGCTATATTCAAGGCTTTTGGCAGTTGTAAAAGTTTAACATTGTATGTAGGTGTAAAAAGTAAAATGCGAACAAGTTTGTTCCAGCTTGCTTCTCTATGCTGAAACAGAAGAAGAGAGAGATAGGGGCAAGAAAGATTAATTTATGGATTTTTACATGTAGGTTAGTAAACACTGGAATGAATAGAATGCAAGACTGGGGAGAGATGTGAGAGAGATGGCTTGCATGCTTTGTGCAAAGACTATTTTTATTGAGAAAAATACAACTATTTTGCAGTCTATGTTTGTCATTAATAAAATGACACAAGAGATGACCATTGGCCTAAGGGGAAACAGGGTCTGGAATGGAGGATCCTGCTCCTGTATTCCCACTCCATTTTTAGATTTTCATCTGGTACTTTTTTTCATCACTTTCTCCAATCTTGTTTTTTGTTTCCCAAGTACATTAGTTGAAAGTCTAATTGCTGCAAAACACTGTAAATGTATGATGTAGATATTTTGAATGGAAGGAAAAAAGTGGAAGAAATGAAGAGGAAGAGAGGAGGGTATTTTCCCCCTCTCTCCCTACTCCCATCCCCTCAACGTTTTTTTCCTGCTCACTTTTCTTTGCACATCCTCCAGTATTTGAATGCCTGAACAGGCTATTCTCTGGAGCTAGAAGACTCGTCTGATTTAAGGAAACAGCACTGAAATCATTGTGCTGTTTCCCATAAGTTTAACTGATCAAATAATTTTGAGATTAACGATAGATGTAAAAGCTTGAGCAATCACTAGTATATGTTAGGACCACAAGCTCATTCCTGGCATCCAGTTGTAAAAGTGAGGCTAATAGTCTGCTTGTCTGTTTGTAATTATTACTGGACAGCCTGGGTCAATTTTTATTTACACTGTATAGCTTGCTTTGATAGTAGACACCACTGAACGCTCACCTGGTTTATTCACATTTGGCGCTACATTGTGTGTAGAACCTAAGATTTTCCAACAGACATTCAAATAATCCTGCTTCCCATGCCCAGTTTTTGGTGGATCATGCTTCCCAGGTAGCAGCTGTCTTATCCCTTTTCTTGTCAGGATGTTTTGCATTTTTCCCAATGATGCACTGAACTTTGGTCAAATCCCAGATCCCAAAAAATGTGGCCTTTGAAGCTCAAAATTATTTTCGAACACAAACTCTCTAGACTGATCTCCATACATTTTGTTAAAGAGTTAGTTGAGAGAATTTGATAAAGGATCAAAGCATTTCTCTTTTGTGATCATTTTACTGATTCTCATAACCTTCTCTTGATAATGCATTGATTTTGTTGGTAAAAGATTGTTGTTGGTGACCCTTAGTTTTTATTTATTAATAAATATTAATTGTTTAATTTACAACTGATTTGTAACTTCCAGGTGCCCAGTTGCTTCCTATGGAAGTCAATGAAATTTACTGTGTAGTTTACCTTTTTCCTTTATTTTTTATCATGATAGTGTTCTACTGTGGAGCAGCAGCATGCTGTTATAGAATACAATGAGGCAGAGGGTTGTTTTGTGGTTCAAGATCTAAACTCAGCACATGGTACTTATGTAAATGATTGCCATGTACAGAATGCAGCTGTGAGACTTGCCTCCAGTGATGTAAAAAGGTTTGGATTTGGTATCCTTTTAAAAATGACAACAACAGTAAAAGAAAGTGTGTGGTGAGTGTAGTCCTAATTAATGCCCCAATATGACTGTTGTTGACAGTGACTGACGTTTCGACAACCTTAAGTCAACCTTAAGTCAGAGTAAATTTAGTGAGTTGTAACTTTTCAGTTGATGATATTTGATATTTTGCTCAATATAGTTAAATGAATTTACAATGCATACCTAATGTCTTTGATTACAGAACTTCCTTAACATGCGTACAACTACACAGGAAATGCAGGTTTTGAATTTCTTGTTGATTCATCCTCAACACTTCATTACCCATCCTTGGGACTGTCTTAGCCATGGGAATCATACAGACTCCGTGTTCTGTCATCACCAATGGCAACATCACAGTCGGGTGGAGTCACCTCCCTTCCTTATATCAACACTGTGACACCAGTGAGTACTGATGGTGTACCACTGTATACAAGCACTGAACCAGTCAGTTTGCTTGGGACTGGTGGCTCAGTATCAGAAATAAGAGGCCCATCTGATCCAAGGGTTAGTAAGTTGTTATGAATGCCAGCCTTCAAAGAAAGCCATGTCTGATAACTTGGGGGTGGCAGATTATGCAGTCAATCTAGTGTATATTCTGTTCTCAACTTGCTTGACAGGCAAGTGAAGATTTTTGGTGAAATTGAAATTTAAAGAAACCGAGGTAGATTATTCGGTCGGTGACACAGCTGCAGCTCAAAAGAAGAAACCCAGTACTTCCATTAGGAGTGGAACCTATGACCTTGTGGTTACTAGTTCAGATGCTCTACCACTAAGCTACATGAGACTCGTGGGAGCTAAGGTTACTAAACTGGGTTCATGTGACAAACATTCCATACTGCTTGGACTAGAATATTGATATGTCATAGAAATGTGATGGCGAATTCAAGGCCTGGTATATATGGTACAATGCCAAATTAAATTCAGGTAAAAGGTTGATTCTCAGTTTTCCTTGTCTCCTAACCCTAATTATTCATGCATTTAGGGCTTGGAGACAAAGAAAATTGAGAACCAACCTTATAGGTTAAAATTTTATCCTGAATTTAATTTTGACCTAGCTGTAACAAATATACAGTCAAGAGGTGCTTATTTACTAAGTGACATAGGCAGCTCTGAAAAAAATCTGAGTGCTCCCAATAGGAGTAGAAACTATGATCTTCTGGCTACTAAACCATGCTCTATAAGGCCACTATTCTTCCACAAATCTTCTTAACTCTGTGGCAGGATTTGCTTATTGTAGTGTGGTTGTTTTTCAGGTTAATGTTATGCCACACCCTCCTCTGAGATCTGGTCCAACAAGTGCTGGTGCTACCAGGACTCGACTCAGTTCTGCTGGCAGAGAAAGGATACCTGGTCCTCCTGTTGCTAAAGGTAACTATCATCATCATTATCATCATTATTATCATTCAGCCTTTTCAGTTGGGATGCTGTGAATAATGATCTTATTCCCGTCCGACATTGTGCTTGCAAGGTCCTCCGTGTTAATTCTGGAATTTCTCAAGATCATATCGGTGAATGAACACGGCCACTTAATTGGTTTCCGGAGAAGAAGGGATTGAATGATCGCCCTCTAAAACTATAATATAGAATATTACACGATAGTGCAAAATTCAGGGGAAAGCCGTAAATAAAAAAATGTTCAAGTGAAGTTGGGCAGCCAAAGAAGAATATTACATTTCCGTTAGCAAGAAGTTTAAGGTGATTAATCCAAAAGTAAGAAATGAGAGGAAATAGGGTTTTCAGGAGAATGTTCACCAAACACGGTACACTGCCCTGTATACTATTAATTTTAGGAATAGACTAATCAAGTTGGACATTTTTTATTAAAAGTGAATTTCTGAATATGATTGGACCAGCAGCAATTTTTTGATAACTTTTACCACCCTGACTTAATTAACCATATGAATGTGAAAATTTTACCAAAAAAACATAGCATGGAATAATGACAATTACATGTATGCAGTAGTAGTAGTAGTAGTCACCAGAGATTGAAATCAAACTTCTTGTGTTTCTTTAAAGTTGTATGCTAACATTAAGGGCACTGTAAAATCTCTGTGATAGTTTCCTCTAAAGCATTCACAGGTCAGAGAGGACGGGGGGTAGGGAGCATAGGTAGCAGCACACCCGTTTTCAGACCTAAAATTACTTACATTTGTTTAAAATCCACTTCAAATTCGCATATTATCTTGCTTTCTTGTTCATTTGGAATTAAAATGACAAATACATTTATACACTCCCATAGTTCTCTTGAAAACCATTCCTGGTTCCAGACCAAAATGTGCAAAGTCTAAACCCTTTTTCAGACTGAAATGGCTCAATAACCCTACCCTTTAAGGCAGTACATACCTATATGGCTTTTAAATGAGAGTACCATCCCAGTGCTTCCGCCCTTAATAGACTTTTTTCAATTGCAAAATATTACAAGCAAGCTCTGACTACCAGCACTTTTAGAACTTCCACCATTCATATCCCTCCAGCAGCCTATCCTTCCGGGCTCCCTGGGGATGTGCCGCCCGGTTCTCAAAATCCTGACCAAGATTTCCCAGGAATACCCCACCGTAGGAGGAAGGCAAGAAAAAAGGGGCGGGAGTCAGTAATGCAAAGTATGGGAGGTAGGAAGTTTAGACCCCCTCCTGCCCCCGCTGCTAATGTGTTACATTTAGAAGTGCTGCAAGGGACTCCTTAATGAAAATGAATCGGGTAATCGTTGTCTCGCTTAGGGTTGGAAATTGCAGATTTTCAGCTTTCACGTAGTGTGCGAAAGACGGAAAGAATGACATTTAATATTCATTCTTGTAAAGGTGTCGCTCAGGTTGGTGAGCAAAGAAACACCTTCATAAAAAATCTAAAACTTCGTCAGACTGTGTTGGATTGAGTAACCCCTCAAAACATTAAAAGAAGGTACAAGTAACAAGGCAAATGTAAAAGAAGGCTCGGATGGACAGAGTTTAAGAAGATTGAAACGGATTGCAATTCTGAGTTTTTAAAACTAATTAGCCTGACAGTTATTTAAAGGTGTTTGCAACCTTTTGATATAATGCTTAGAAGGCATAATGTTTGACAAGAAATTGTAAGTTTGTCATTTACAAGTGAATTCTTTGCTAACTTTAAGTTTCATAACGCATTAGCACAGTGAAGTAGAGCCTCCTCTCCTAGAAAACCCAGTGAAAAAAAACAAAACAACTCGTCAAGTTTATTAAACTTTTTGGTACGTTTGTAGCCGCCCACGGCTAACTGCACAACAACAGCGTGACATTCTCTAATGCAACGTTTTATGGGGTGTTAACCCGTAAGCTGAACATTCGTTAAGGAATTCTGCTCTTGGTAAAGTCACCTGCATTTGACTTATTGAACAATTTGGAAAAATCCGGTGACAATTCGATGTTTGAAAGGATGCGAAATTCGTCTTATTGGTAACTCTTTACTACTGTCGCCTTTGTGATTGCTAAGGGATTGCAAAGCCGCTTGTGATCACTTTAAACAATCAAAATGCTGTTTGAAATCCTTTCACGACCATTATGTGATGCTTTGTATTAATTTTTTACTATTATCAGAGCTGGAGGAGAGGATTCAGCGTTTTCTAATGCAAGCATAATTCATCAGCTTCGTGAGCAAGTATCGCAGTTGCAAGCGATTGTGCAAGAGAAGGAAGAAAACGAGAAGGCAGCAGCGCAGAAACTAGCGATGTACCAGAATCAACTGCACGCCAAAAACAATGAAGTTGCTACTTTAAAGGACTAATTGCAGGCACAGGTTTGTCCTAAATATTGCCAGTTGAGGTACTCTCCATGATGCCTATACGGGGAGGCCCCGCCAAAAAGAGGCACCTTTTTAAGGCTTCGAGTATATGTACAGGGTAAGGATTTCGTGAATTGAAGTATATGAAAGGTTAGGGAAAATCGTCTCTTTTATAGGTGTTCAGAAGGGGCTTTAACTTGAATATTTCGAGCCGACGCATCTTACAGCCGTATCAATTTAATTTATTAAACGCTAAGCAAGAAGACTAACTGATAGTAGGTATGAGATAGGGGTACCATTTGTAAATGAAAGGTATACGAAAAGGAATACCTTTTCTTCCAAAAATGGTATATTAAAAGGTAACAGTTTGGATAAGGCCTTTACCTGTGGAACGTTGTTGAATCCTGATTATATCAGCTTTGCTTCTACAATTTTGAAAGGGGTTTTGTGGGTGTTTTAACTAGCTGGCCGTAAGCAAGGTTATAGTTGTCATTATGATTAATAAGCATCGTACTTGTTCTCAATGAGGGATGGCAAAAGCACGGTGGAAGAGTATTATTTATAGTCGGAGTGTGATGAAACAGGGAATGATTACAAGCAGAATAATTTCAATCTGCGAGTTGCTTCATGTGCTTCCAGCGCTGGCAACCGGAATTTTACTTTAGTTACTATAGAGAACTACACATAAAGTAGGCTTACTGCAGTAAATTTAAGGGGAGAATTTTTCAAGGCTTTTTTTTTTTCAATGAAGTAGGAAGGATTAGCACAGTTGGTTAGTACGCGGCCTTCTCTGCGGGAGGTCCTGAGTACGATTCCCAGCTGTGACTTCAAATCCTTCTTTCGACTTCTTCCCTTTCCGTGTAGCTTTAAGTAGCTTTAAATGCCTCTAAAACGGAGCGGTCATGGAGAGAGGGCGGATAGATAAGCGCACCGTCGGCCTCAGGTTTGTTGGCGTGGATTTCCATTATCGCGTGATTTTTCCGTGCGAACGCGCGTAAATAAAATAGACACAATGTATGGAAGGTCACGCGTAAACGTAAAAGTTGAACCTCGGTCAACTTTCACGTTTACGCGTGGCCTTTCATACATTGCCTCTATTTCATTCACGCGCGTGAATTTTACGTGCGTTCGCACGGAAACATTACGCGACAGTGGAAATCAACCATTGGTCAGATGACTATTTCGCGCTACCGACATAAAATAAGGACTCTTTACCTTTACCTGTTACTGTTTATTGGGGCGCTTGTTTATGTATTTTGATTTCCTGGAGCAAGTTTTCCTCGACAACAAAGAGTTTCACTGTAAAAGCTTATGGAAGTTGGATATTTTTGGTTATTATTCACAGCCTAAGGCTTCCGCTTGGGTTAAAACGGACCCAAACGCAACCACAAACAAGATCGCATCGTTAACCTATGACCTTGTGGTTACTAGTTCAGATGCTCTACCACTAAGCTACATGAGACTCGTGGGAGCTAAGGTTACTAAACTGGGTTCATGTGACAAACATTCCATACTGCTTGGACTAGAATATTGATATGTCATAGAAATGTGATGGCGAATTCAAGGCCTGGTATATATGGTACAATGCCAAATTAAATTCAGGTAAAAGGTTGATTCTCAGTTTTCCTTGTCTCCTAACCCTAATTATTCATGCATTTAGGGCTTGGAGACAAAGAAAATTGAGAACCAACCTTATAGGTTAAAATTTTATCCTGAATTTAATTTTGACCTAGCTGTAACAAATATACAGTCAAGAGGTGCTTATTTACTAAGTGACATAGGCAGCTCTGAAAAAAATCTGAGTGCTCCCAATAGGAGTAGAAACTATGATCTTCTGGCTACTAAACCATGCTCTATAAGGCCACTATTCTTCCACAAATCTTCTTAACTCTGTGGCAGGATTTGCTTATTGTAGTGTGGTTGTTTTTCAGGTTAATGTTATGCCACACCCTCCTCTGAGATCTGGTCCAACAAGTGCTGGTGCTACCAGGACTCGACTCAGTTCTGCTGGCAGAGAAAGGATACCTGGTCCTCCTGTTGCTAAAGGTAACTATCATCATCATTATCATCATTATTATCATTCAGCCTTTTCAGTTGGGATGCTGTGAATAATGATCTTATTCCCGTCCGACATTGTGCTTGCAAGGTCCTCCGTGTTAATTCTGGAATTTCTCAAGATCATATCGGTGAATGAACACGGCCACTTAATTGGTTTCCGGAGAAGAAGGGATTGAATGATCGCCCTCTAAAACTATAATATAGAATATTACACGATAGTGCAAAATTCAGGGGAAAGCCGTAAATAAAAAAATGTTCAAGTGAAGTTGGGCAGCCAAAGAAGAATATTACATTTCCGTTAGCAAGAAGTTTAAGGTGATTAATCCAAAAGTAAGAAATGAGAGGAAATAGGGTTTTCAGGAGAATGTTCACCAAACACGGTACACTGCCCTGTATACTATTAATTTTAGGAATAGACTAATCAAGTTGGACATTTTTTATTAAAAGTGAATTTCTGAATATGATTGGACCAGCAGCAATTTTTTGATAACTTTTACCACCCTGACTTAATTAACCATATGAATGTGAAAATTTTACCAAAAAAACATAGCATGGAATAATGACAATTACATGTATGCAGTAGTAGTAGTAGTAGTCACCAGAGATTGAAATCAAACTTCTTGTGTTTCTTTAAAGTTGTATGCTAACATTAAGGGCACTGTAAAATCTCTGTGATAGTTTCCTCTAAAGCATTCACAGGTCAGAGAGGACGGGGGGTAGGGAGCATAGGTAGCAGCACACCCGTTTTCAGACCTAAAATTACTTACATTTGTTTAAAATCCACTTCAAATTCGCATATTATCTTGCTTTCTTGTTCATTTGGAATTAAAATGACAAATACATTTATACACTCCCATAGTTCTCTTGAAAACCATTCCTGGTTCCAGACCAAAATGTGCAAAGTCTAAACCCTTTTTCAGACTGAAATGGCTCAATAACCCTACCCTTTAAGGCAGTACATACCTATATGGCTTTTAAATGAGAGTACCATCCCAGTGCTTCCGCCCTTAATAGACTTTTTTCAATTGCAAAATATTACAAGCAAGCTCTGACTACCAGCACTTTTAGAACTTCCACCATTCATATCCCTCCAGCAGCCTATCCTTCCGGGCTCCCTGGGGATGTGCCGCCCGGTTCTCAAAATCCTGACCAAGATTTCCCAGGAATACCCCACCGTAGGAGGAAGGCAAGAAAAAAGGGGCGGGAGTCAGTAATGCAAAGTATGGGAGGTAGGAAGTTTAGACCCCCTCCTGCCCCCGCTGCTAATGTGTTACATTTAGAAGTGCTGCAAGGGACTCCTTAATGAAAATGAATCGGGTAATCGTTGTCTCGCTTAGGGTTGGAAATTGCAGATTTTCAGCTTTCACGTAGTGTGCGAAAGACGGAAAGAATGACATTTAATATTCATTCTTGTAAAGGTGTCGCTCAGGTTGGTGAGCAAAGAAACACCTTCATAAAAAATCTAAAACTTCGTCAGACTGTGTTGGATTGAGTAACCCCTCAAAACATTAAAAGAAGGTACAAGTAACAAGGCAAATGTAAAAGAAGGCTCGGATGGACAGAGTTTAAGAAGATTGAAACGGATTGCAATTCTGAGTTTTTAAAACTAATTAGCCTGACAGTTATTTAAAGGTGTTTGCAACCTTTTGATATAATGCTTAGAAGGCATAATGTTTGACAAGAAATTGTAAGTTTGTCATTTACAAGTGAATTCTTTGCTAACTTTAAGTTTCATAACGCATTAGCACAGTGAAGTAGAGCCTCCTCTCCTAGAAAACCCAGTGAAAAAAAACAAAACAACTCGTCAAGTTTATTAAACTTTTTGGTACGTTTGTAGCCGCCCACGGCTAACTGCACAACAACAGCGTGACATTCTCTAATGCAACGTTTTATGGGGTGTTAACCCGTAAGCTGAACATTCGTTAAGGAATTCTGCTCTTGGTAAAGTCACCTGCATTTGACTTATTGAACAATTTGGAAAAATCCGGTGACAATTCGATGTTTGAAAGGATGCGAAATTCGTCTTATTGGTAACTCTTTACTACTGTCGCCTTTGTGATTGCTAAGGGATTGCAAAGCCGCTTGTGATCACTTTAAACAATCAAAATGCTGTTTGAAATCCTTTCACGACCATTATGTGATGCTTTGTATTAATTTTTTACTATTATCAGAGCTGGAGGAGAGGATTCAGCGTTTTCTAATGCAAGCATAATTCATCAGCTTCGTGAGCAAGTATCGCAGTTGCAAGCGATTGTGCAAGAGAAGGAAGAAAACGAGAAGGCAGCAGCGCAGAAACTAGCGATGTACCAGAATCAACTGCACGCCAAAAACAATGAAGTTGCTACTTTAAAGGACTAATTGCAGGCACAGGTTTGTCCTAAATATTGCCAGTTGAGGTACTCTCCATGATGCCTATACGGGGAGGCCCCGCCAAAAAGAGGCACCTTTTTAAGGCTTCGAGTATATGTACAGGGTAAGGATTTCGTGAATTGAAGTATATGAAAGGTTAGGGAAAATCGTCTCTTTTATAGGTGTTCAGAAGGGGCTTTAACTTGAATATTTCGAGCCGACGCATCTTACAGCCGTATCAATTTAATTTATTAAACGCTAAGCAAGAAGACTAACTGATAGTAGGTATGAGATAGGGGTACCATTTGTAAATGAAAGGTATACGAAAAGGAATACCTTTTCTTCCAAAAATGGTATATTAAAAGGTAACAGTTTGGATAAGGCCTTTACCTGTGGAACGTTGTTGAATCCTGATTATATCAGCTTTGCTTCTACAATTTTGAAAGGGGTTTTGTGGGTGTTTTAACTAGCTGGCCGTAAGCAAGGTTATAGTTGTCATTATGATTAATAAGCATCGTACTTGTTCTCAATGAGGGATGGCAAAAGCACGGTGGAAGAGTATTATTTATAGTCGGAGTGTGATGAAACAGGGAATGATTACAAGCAGAATAATTTCAATCTGCGAGTTGCTTCATGTGCTTCCAGCGCTGGCAACCGGAATTTTACTTTAGTTACTATAGAGAACTACACATAAAGTAGGCTTACTGCAGTAAATTTAAGGGGAGAATTTTTCAAGGCTTTTTTTTTTTCAATGAAGTAGGAAGGATTAGCACAGTTGGTTAGTACGCGGCCTTCTCTGCGGGAGGTCCTGAGTACGATTCCCAGCTGTGACTTCAAATCCTTCTTTCGACTTCTTCCCTTTCCGTGTAGCTTTAAGTAGCTTTAAATGCCTCTAAAACGGAGCGGTCATGGAGAGAGGGCGGATAGATAAGCGCACCGTCGGCCTCAGGTTTGTTGGCGTGGATTTCCATTATCGCGTGATTTTTCCGTGCGAACGCGCGTAAATAAAATAGACACAATGTATGGAAGGTCACGCGTAAACGTAAAAGTTGAACCTCGGTCAACTTTCACGTTTACGCGTGGCCTTTCATACATTGCCTCTATTTCATTCACGCGCGTGAATTTTACGTGCGTTCGCACGGAAACATTACGCGACAGTGGAAATCAACCATTGGTCAGATGACTATTTCGCGCTACCGACATAAAATAAGGACTCTTTACCTTTACCTGTTACTGTTTATTGGGGCGCTTGTTTATGTATTTTGATTTCCTGGAGCAAGTTTTCCTCGACAACAAAGAGTTTCACTGTAAAAGCTTATGGAAGTTGGATATTTTTGGTTATTATTCACAGCCTAAGGCTTCCGCTTGGGTTAAAACGGACCCAAACGCAACCACAAACAAGATCGCATCGTTACGCACTGACATCGCTGAGAAGGAGCGAAGAATTGCTCAACTATCCAACGAAAATGAAAAGCTAAACAAGCAAAAAATGCAGTCCACGACACTGCTGAACGGGTTACAGAGAGAAAACTCTGCAAAGGACGCCTTAGTGCATCAGGCGAACAGAGAGATTGAAAAACGTAAGAAGGAACTACGTGAAAAGGATTCAACAATTTCCACCATGTCGACGAAGGTTAGATATAATACACGAAACTAATGTTCCCTTAACCTCAAAGAAAATTTTAATCGTAGCCTGCGAGTACAGCTTTCTCTCAACACTCCCCCTTCGTTGTGAAGTTTCGAAAGGCGCCCCCTGCTACGTGGAAAAGCCACTAGCAAGCTCTTCATTTCTGGAGGGAACGAAGCCAGCCTCTAGGGACTCGCGACTCCACCAAATGGCCATGGAGAGCTTGTTCGGAGGCTACGACGGGAAACGATTACTTTTTCCGCGTTACACGTTCGGCTGTATCGAGGGTTCCCAATAGGTTTTTCGGGATCCGGGATTTACCTTATTTGATTCTCGGGATCCGGTATTTGCCTTTGTATTTGAGGGCGGGATTCGGAAATTTAAAGCAAATTGGGGCTGAGATGTGCACGGGAAGCTAGTCTACCTCGCAGCCATGTTATTGTCGTCACGCAACGCTCCTAGTGTAGGCAAAATCCTTTCTCAGGTTAAACCATAAAAGTTAATGCAAAGATATGTGTTGATTTGAGTTCGAATAGACGCCTTTAAACTGCCAACAGCTGTGTTATATGAAACTTTATTAAAACAGCCTGCGAGCAAGCTTTCCATTTTGTGTGGCGAGCGAGCACGTGTGAGGCAGAGGAAAGAAAAGCCTCGTTTCTTTCTTCAACCTACTCTCTCGTGTCTCCTGTCGTGTGTCGCTTGCATGTGGCTTCAAACAATGTAACTCGACTAAAAAACTTGCTCGCATGCAGAGTAACACAGAAGAGTCACTTGTACAATCATTCGACTACATGTTAGGGAGTTCCAGTACAGGCGTTTTGAGGGACGCACGTCAATCGGAAGTCAGGCGGTTTCCCTGTTAATGCCCTGACGCCACCAGATTTGTATTGCTAAGTGTTTCAACTTTTATAGAGACAATTTGCCCTAAAATTTAGGCGAGGCCACTAGGCAAAAGGCAAAAACGCTACTTCCAGTTGACGTGCATCGTTTCAAAATGTCTTTTCTTAAGCTCACTATCAAACCTACAGGGGAGCTTAAAGCAACTACGACGGCGATGGCCACGGAAACGTCACTTAAAAAAAGTATTCGCGTGGCTTTAAACTTAATCGCACTTTTTCCATCTCGTTCAATTCGTCAAATATTGGCAAATTTTCCAAGAGTTGAACTCTAAAAGACTGTATCGAAGTTCAGAGAAAGAAAAAGAAGATCGTTGTCTTGTGTTCACGTCCTCCACAAAACGTGAAATCAGGAAGTTTCACGTCGTAGTCGTGCAGTGACGGGAAAGAAATGTACAAAAAGGCGTGATGCCCGTGCAAAGTTGTTGTTTTGTCAATCCAAACCTATTGCTTTTTTGCCGTTCTCGTTGACGTCGCCGTCGTCTTTGCTTAAGCTCCCTTATATGTCACTGAAAACGACAACGTTCAAAGTGCCCAATCTCCTTTTAACATCCTGTAAAGTATTTTTCACTTAAGGGTTAATCAGGGGCACCCAACGACGGTTTGCTCCTAAATACATTGAAAACACTTTTTAGGCTATACAGAGTACTTTAAGATATCTAGAAAAGCATTCTAAGCAGCGTTGTAAAATTTGTATCTGTTCGGTCATCCTAGGGAAACTTGAGTCTTTTCGAAATTACAAGGGCTTGAGTATTATTTTCCCGAAAATTTTAGATGAAATTTGACGTATTACGAGAGTGAGACATTTTTTTTATTGATCTCTCCATCACATTCTTGAATCCAAAAATTCTGGGTCTCCTTTTTTCTATGAAAAATAACCTAACTTGGGAAGTAAAATGCGAAAATTAATCATCCGAAAAATGGCCGGAAATTAATAAGATAAGCTTCGAAAATTGNTCCTTTTAACATCCTGTAAAGTATTTTTCACTTAAGGGTTAATCAGGGGCACCCAACGACGGTTTGCTCCTAAATACATTGAAAACACTTTTTAGGCTATACAGAGTACTTTAAGATATCTAGAAAAGCATTCTAAGCAGCGTTGTAAAATTTGTATCTGTTCGGTCATCCTAGGGAAACTTGAGTCTTTTCGAAATTACAAGGGCTTGAGTATTATTTTCCCGAAAATTTTAGATGAAATTTGACGTATTACGAGAGTGAGACATTTTTTTTATTGATCTCTCCATCACATTCTTGAATCCAAAAATTCTGGGTCTCCTTTTTTCTATGAAAAATAACCTAACTTGGGAAGTAAAATGCGAAAATTAATCATCCGAAAAATGGCCGGAAATTAATAAGATAAGCTTCGAAAATTGTTGATGAATGGAACGGTCATCTAGAAATTTGTAGTCGTCGTCCAAGTGACTGATAGAAAATTCTAGGGAATAGTTGCTTTTCCGAACAGATATTTCAAAGAAAACAGTCGTTGGGGGCCCCTGGGTTAATAAATATGTACAAACTGTATGTAACAATCAAGCTTTCTTTCTCTTATTTTCAGCTGGGAAGGCAGAAGGCCGCTAAAGAAGTGGGGAAAGAGGCACAAAAATTAGAACAAGAGCTTTATGCAACAAAAGGGGTAAGAATTGAGTGATCTGTTATAAAGGTCTTCCCATCTGAAACATCTCCTTTTTTATTTTAGAGTTCTAGGTTTAACACCTTGTAATCGGTCTTATAATTAGTAAACAGCCAGTACATAGGTACAGTTTCCATCGTGTTTCATTTTCCATTATGTGGAATAATGGTTAAGAATGTACTAAAGAATTAGTTAATTTAACCATCTTTACCATTTTTCTAAGAGCCTGTTTACATGGAGGTGGGGGACCCAATGCAGGTGAGGTAACCCGCCTGTCCATATAATCTCTCATTTTAATTTGATCATGTTTACATGATAGGTGGGGTGACCCGCCACATGTTACCACACCTACCTGGGGTCCCCCACCTCCGTGTAAACAGGCCCTAAATCATGCGCTTCTCTTCATTGAAATTGCGCCCGCAGTCACATATTAAATTCCCTTTTCAAACGCTACCAAGGAACTTTCATTCGGTCAAAAGTCAGTAGTAAGCTCAGCAACTTGACAAGCCTCAAAGCATTCAAGAAACATATACGCGGTGTGGACCTTTCTAGCCATATAGATAATAATAGTAACTGCTGTTAAAAGTCATGTAATAGATTAGTGCCAGTTCTTACCAAAGTGTCCCCAATTAGCTGATATAACTGTTGAGCTAAATACATTGACAATAAAATAAAGTTATTATTATTATTATTATTATTATTATTATTACTAAACGCTTAAAACTTTTTAGTACATATTTTTTATCACATACATACGCAAGGGAGTGTTAGAGATATGTTAAGCCTGTATTACGCAGATATTTACAGGATAATTAGGTTGGCTAAATTTCATAGAAATTGGTAAAATATTCGCAAAGTTATGACTCTATGAAGGATTAATTCATAGCAAGCCTTAAACATAACTCTAATCAACAATGTTTTTGTACAAAGTTACATGTAAGGGCCTGTTTACATGGAGGTGGGGTACCCCAGATAGGTGAGGTAACCCGCTTAGGTGGGGTAACCTGCCTGTCCATATAATCTCTCATTTTAATGTGATCACGTTTACATCATAGGTGGGGTAACCCGCCACATGTTACCTCACCTACCTGGGGTCCCCCACCTTCATGTAAACAGGCCCTAATATGTAAAGCCAAGACAATTAAGTATCCTTTTATTGTTATTGTAAACACGTTTTACACGAAGGCTATTGATAAACCCACATTCCTTTCGGTCCAGTTCATTCTCGTAAGCCACCACTTTATTTTCGTGCACAGTAATTTTTAGGGAGTTATTATAACTCCAAAAATGGAGTAAAAATTCTAGGTACAGGATAACCCCTTTCTGGGGGTTACTTTAACTCCTCAGTATTAACTCCAAATCTGGGGTGATTTTTACTCCTGAAAAAGAGTTCTTTAAACTCCTTTTTTGGAGTTAAAATAACTCCACCGTAAGGAGTTAAATTAACCCCTCTAGAGCAGTTATTATAACTCCCTGAGAATTACTGTGTGCTCTTAAACTTCCGTTGTGACTGTATTACGCTTGCAAATGCGTTCAGCGAGCGTGCAGCAGGAAGTTCGTTTACTTGTTTACTTAGTGTAATGGATTCGGCTTTGAGCCTTTGTGTTGTTGATACATCTTCATGTTTTGAGAACAAAACGAGACAAATGTCCTTTTAGGAATGTCAATAAACTGAATAGTTATGTTTCCCTGTAGTTTCTTAGTTAATACCAAAGAAGTCTGGATTGTCCAAAATTAAGTTTTATCACAAATTAATATCCTTGTTTCTGTTAATACTCTTGTCTTTCGCAACATTTCTGATTTTTTTCTCATTCCGTTGTTTTTAATGGGGTCATAATTCGTTCTACATTGTCTAAATGTCTAGGTTTGTTCTGATCTGAGCGGCTGACAGGTTTTCAGAGTCCGTTGAAGTTTAATAAAATGTCAAGCCACGTGAAAAAAACATGTAAATTTTCTGCACAGAGCCACGCAATATTTTAGGTTTATCGGGAAAGTCACACTTTGAATTTTTGCGGAAAGTAAAGCGTCCAAGTTTCCATAAAAGCAGCTACTGGAAGAAGCTGATACCAACAGTAATCACAGTTTTATTTCGTTGTAGTTAAACATGTAATAATTTCAATGCATGCTTGTATTGCAAACTCGTTAGCGCCGGTAATTCTTTGTAACTAATTGCTCGTTTACTTAAGTAGCTTTTTCTTTTTCTGTCGGTTTTACATGCATTAAGTTTAGCCGTAGGATTATTTGTAAACGGCTTGCATAGGCAGTTCATTGAGATATATCATTTGTGCATCGTTACCCAAGCCTGTATTCAAACAGAGTGTCGACTCTTGTCTGTTCCTGTGAATGAGAGTACCAATTATGTTATTTTACTTCTTTTATTTCTTTTTTCGCCCTCTTCAGAAACTTCAAACCACAGAGAAGCAATTGAAGGAAAGGATTAAAACCATCGCTGATTTAGAACACGAGTTAGAGAAGATGAGAGATCATCTCAGCGAAGGAAGACAGGTTAGTTGCCATAGCACCTAGACCTGAATATCCCGGATGGTGTGCCTGAATCAGTGCAAGTCCGACCACATTGCGGAAGTTCATAATATTACATACCAGATTTTATAATTCTCCAAACAGGAGTCGAGCCTATGACCTTTTGGTCATTGCCTTTTCATAGGAAATGAACGCCTCACGAATTTAAGTCGCGTTAATTTCTTGAAACGTTAATTTTCCCGCCGTTAATGTGGAGCTTTGATTTCCACGATCATAAAGAGGCTGTGTCACGGCTGTCCAGTTCATTTTGTCAATATTTAGTGCCAATTATGCGTTCTTACTTGCTATGGAACTTACAGCTGAACTTAACGTTAGCGGAGAAATTACTCGTAAATGACAAAATCACAGCTTTGTGCCAAACAAATGTGTCTCCCACGCATTATATGAAACGCTAAAAACAACAAAAATGAACTTTGAAAAACTGTTAGATTAACAACCACAATTACAATCCGTTTTAATCTTCTTCAAGTTTGTCCATCTGTGCCTTCTATTGTATTTGTTTTGTTATGTATATGTTCTTATAATGTTTTGAGCTGTTGTTTTTATGATTCACTTAATTTGGTGGCAGTTCCCACTGTTTGAATTTTAATAAATTTCGTCACACAGCTCCTTTAATTTCCACTATTTTGGATACACTTCGGACATTCTTCACACGTAGAAGAGAGGAGTGTTTTATAAGGATGGAGATCCGCCAGTAACAGTGAAACTGTGAAGAACCCTCGAACTGGCCAGATTTCTTCGTTAGACTCTCTTCGTGCGTTAGGAAAAGTACCTCGAACAAAGTTTCCGTTTCAGATTACACGTTTAAGGCCCAGTTTTAACGTCGAACTTTCATGTACCGATTCTAATCCCTTCAATTAAGAACATGAAGAGATCGACATTTGAAGCAATTAAGTCCGACATATTTAATTTGGGTCAACCCATGAATTAAGATCGAGTGGCCCACATGGGGTTCGACTGTAGAGTGACTACGTTTCAAACTTCAAACTTCGAAATTCTCATTTGCCAAAACTTTTCATGTGCCGAAACTAATGTATAAATTACTAAATTCATTTTCACTGATAAGCATTGTAGACCATTGTACATCGTGAAAGTGAATTGAGTCCGACTAATTAAGTTCGACGCCTGAATTAACCGTCGAATTGTTGTCATTTCGATCGACCTAAATAGGTACTAAGTTTGGTACATACAAAGTTCGACGTTCGAACTGGGCTTAACTTTGTTTCTGCTGTCTCAAGAAGTTTAGTTTCTTTGTGAGCATCCCGTTAATTTTCTCCGTTTTGAAAATGTTATCCTCTCTTCCTCGTTAATTTCCTTTATTTCAAAGTCGTTTTCACTAAAGTCGCGTTAATTTCCAATACAGTCTAACCTCTCCTTGCGGACACCTCTCTATTACGGACTGTTCGTTTCGTTTCCCAGAAATGCCAAAAATCATTCATTCCCTACCTCTATAATACGGACACCTCTGTAAAGTGGACAATTGGTTCTGTCCCTTTGGTGTCCGTATTAAAGAGGTTTGACTGTACCATAATTTCATGAAGCTTTAATTACCCAAAATAGGGAAGTCCACATGCTCTACAACTGCGCTTCAAGCAACTCGAGGACAATAAGACCATTGAGCTGGGTTCACTGAGGAACACCTTGTTGGTTGTGACAATGTAACATCGACCCAGGAGAGGTTTTGTGTCCAGCGGTTTTTAGTAAAAAAAGGGTTTGTGGGGGTTTCTCAGTCTCGCGGGCTCAAAAGCCTCCCTTAGATTGATGTTATTTCGTATTTACCCACCTTGTATACTTAAATAAGTCCCATAATGCAGTTCGAGAAAAACCGACCCAGTCCAACCCAAGCTTACCCTTGAAAATGACCCAGTCAGGTAATCAGTAAAAAACCTCTCTCTCAAAAGAGCGACAAGGCGATTCAGCAGGAACTGGATCACGCTAAAGCTCAGTGTCTGGACGCACAAAGAGCTGAGAAACTGCTTACGGTTGACTTTCATCAACTGGAAAAAAGAGTAAGTGATCTCGGATTTTACAGTAACTCACTTTATTAAAGCATTGTTGGCATGCTTTTTTGAAACAATGAAACAATGTTGCTTGGGGGAATACTCCCTTACATCACCTTTATGGGTAAATGGGTTTAGTTTTTTAGTCCCCTTTTGGTTTAAAACAGAAAATAACACTTCAGCCGTTTGGGTTTGATATAGGGCATGGTTTGTGCTCTGTGAAATTGTGTATCCCTTAGTGTCTTTCTAGAGACTTGATTTGAGAAAGAGCAGGAAAAATCAAATATATTGCCTGAAATATATTTAAGGAAAGCCTTTCCCATCCCCAGCTTCTTGTAGCTTGCAAGTAAGCAACAACACGCTGGTATAACGAATAACATTCTCAGCCAACAGTTAGAGGCAAATTTCTTGGATAAAATCCACAGTATTAACGTGTCCTTTCCTAAAGGTTACACTTCACACTTCCCTGGCATCTTGTTATATCAGGCGGCCATTTTATTTGGGTATCATGGGGATCAGGTCACGTGCAAGCGAGCCGCCAAAGCGATTCTCAAAATGGGAATAGGTGGGGCTTACAGAAATAACTTCAAAATGGCTGTGTATTTATGTCCTTCTGTAGTTTGATCGTTTCCGGCGGAAGTTGGTTGAACACACATTCCGCGGCGATGTTCAAAGAACAGTTGATCATGAACTGGATGACGATGAATTGCTTGATCACGTGAGGAATCTGGCTCAAGAGATTTTTTTTTTAGTGGAGGAAATCCAGCAGTACGCAAACTCGGAAGGTGAAGTGAGTTCAGAGTTTTCCGAAGATCCTTGATAGTTTTTCTCACGCAATGCTTCCCGAGCGGCTGCGGAGGAGACTATGTTAGTTTCGAGTGTGATAGTGTAAAGTGCTTCGTGAACCCAACCCCCAACACGACTTGTTTCATGTTTTATTTTCTTCAAAACTGCCCAAATGAGCATTTCCCTCCCCCCTTCCCTCATAAAATGAGAGGGTGTTTTGTGCTTTGCCACCCCCATTTGCGGCTTTTCCCCTCAAATGGAAGGAGGTCCTCCCCCCCTCCCACCGCCAAGAAATAATTGAGAGTGTCCGGATAACAGGAAAATGAATTATTTGTATTTTATTAAGAAGATGAGTTCTTTGGTAACAGGTCTTTTGTGTGGAGATTTTATTAGTGTGGATGTGGTAAAGTGATCGCTGAGCCTTGGACAAAATGTCACCCTTTAGCTAAAAAAAACCGCAGCTTCCTACGTAACTGCTAATGAAAGGCTGAAAACTGAAAACTGAAGTTCCTTACCTCTCCCCTCCACACCCTTAAATTTATCGGTCAACAGCGACCCTTCTGCCGCAGCTCTTTGTCTCTTAATTCAGTTTATGTTGTCGCTAATGAAAGTACGACAGCTAGCTTGCTAAATCTGAAATAGTTAGTAATGTTTTTAGAACTAAATGGGATTTCTCTTTTCGTAATGCTCTTTTTCAATCATTTACGCTTTTGCTCTCTTTGACTATGATAGAAAGAAGCAAAAGACAAAGACTTGAAAGATTCAACGGGTGAACTGCGGAAACATCTAGAAGGCATGCTGGTGAGTAAATCACAGGACACCCAACATTGTACCACTTAAAGATGGTTTTCACGGAGTGGTAGTCGGAGTCGTAAACGGAGTCGCAAGAGCGCTTATGACTTAGTGAAAATCAAAGATCGGAGTCGTCAGAGTCATGAGCGCGACGTAATCGGATTCGGAAGAATCAGAATGTTTCCATTTTCTTCTGACTCCGCTTATGACTCCGTCGTTTATGATCAAGTGAAAACCAGATTGTCGGAGTTGGAAGAAGAAGGGGAAGGATAAACCAATCATAATG